AAAGTGATTTGCCGAGAGAAATAGATGGCAAATCTTCAAAGATCAAAGATCCTAATCTATAATCAAAGGGCAGTAAAAAAGCGCGTTGGCAAAAGTGGGTCAAAGAAATAAGTGCGGGCGAAGGAGAGATGGATAGAGAAGAAAAGCAGAATAAAAATCAATGGCAGTTCCGAGGCTAGATTTAAATTTTATATATAACGCATGTATAAACACCGCGATCCTTAAACATATGCGGGAGGCAAATAGACTTCACCGCGTTGACTCTATCAACCTCTCGAGAGTTAATTTGAGTTGCTAAATCAGTGCCGACTCTCTCAACGAAGAGGCTTCAGGCGAAGGATCCTTGTAGGAGGCTGTGAAGTCAGAGATCTACAGAAACTACTCTTAACTGGCCGATAAATACGAGTTAGCTGCGAGGCACAACTCACACGATGACGGTGGTTTGCCGACCTACTTAAGCTCTAATTTAACAATAAAACTTGCAACTTTAATGGTGCCTTAATTAGAGAAGGGTCTATTGTCTATTATTGTAATGTTCGAATTATGATACCTGCAGTGTCAAAAACATAATGTAGGGAAGTAATACACGTATATGAAGAGATATGGAAAAATATATAAATATATATAATAGTATTATATATAAAAAAAGAGGAACATATATGTGTAAGAAGAGAGAAAAATATAATTATATAATACTATTATATTTCAAATTTTGTTTGTCAATGAGAATATGTTTTTCATCATTTGTACACTCACTTCTATTGCTAGCACATTTTTATACTCTTTAATTTTTCATCTTCTACATTATTTCCCGTTGTTTCTTTATCAATGCTTGAAATTAATTTTCCACGGGTTTACATTTTCTGTTGTCTATTGTAACATCATTGAAACCGCTCCAATAATACTCGAATTTGGCCGAAACTATTTTACCAATCAACGAAGAAAATCGCGAACGTATATAACCCAGGTTCGTAATCTCTCGATAGTATCAACATCCCAAATTGATAGAGAACCGCGTCGCGAGGGACGGGAAAGAGCACGTGCATCGTTGATGGGCTCGCGGGAGTTGCGGGTGGATGTCATATCGCGCTCGCGCAGATCTGCTCGATGGAGAAAGCGCAGCGTATATTTCAGGTGTAAATAACAATTGCCATTCCATGAAGTTTCTCTCTCGATGGCATCCGCATTCCCTTTCGTATCATTCTGTATACGTATCTTTGTATTTTAACCCTCCTGTAACGTAAGCTCGCATTTTTCACTCAATACTCGGCTTCGCCAAGTTCGTCGCTTTGTCGAACTTTCCATTTTCTTTCTCTCTCTCTCACTCTCTCTTTCTCTTCAAGACTTTTCGATCTCGTTCGTGCTCTATCGTTTATTTTGGCTTTACGACTTCGCCATTCGCAGTCCCGTCGCCATTATTCGGCCACCCTCATGCAACTAGCTCAAGTTTCTAGCAAGGGAGCAAAATGAAAAGGGATGTCAGCGAATACAATAGTCGTTTTTTTTAGAGACGTAACTCTTCTCCCGGAGGCTTCTGTTTTCGCAGTATCTTGAAAGCCCTACGTTCTTTTCTCGCTTATCTTTTGAAATTGCAAATAGATTATTCTTATTTCTTGAATTAGAATTTTATAAATATCTATATTAATTTTTATTGTTATTGTTATTTTTAAAAACAAAGGTATAAAATTAAGGCTCTCAACGGATAAAATCACACTATCGGAGTAATGGCAAAAAGAGCCAAGCGCGGTTATTGAGGGCGCAAATGTTTATTTTAAAATATAATTACAAAATTAATTCGCGGACGTTTCGGCCCTTTTTTTGGCCATCCTCATTGTTATTTTTATTGTTATTATGTATATATATTAGTAGTAGTATTTATATATTATTAGTTATTATTGTTATTTTTATTGTTATATATAGAAATATTTATTACATCCCGTCTTATTTCAAATTATTTATTATATATATGCGTTAGAACTATTTGTTAAGTTTGACAGATATTGTAGAATTATTACTCTTATAAAAATAGTTAACAATTTTACGCTTTGTCTATTTATCAGATGTATTCTTCTGTAAATCAGCATGACTCGTTCAAAACGTATTTTACAATTATCATAATTGCCAGTAATTTGACCCGTAGGAAAACGAAAAGGTGATGGGCGAAATTCGTGAGTGAAACTTTCGAGTTGCGAATCACCGTCAATAGACGAAGTGAAGTCGAATCGTTGCGCAAAAACTAGGGGATGCTGAAGCGGAGGAAAAGAGGGAGGAAAAGGAAGCAGAACGGATTAATTAGAACTGCCCGTTTCGCCGAGAACGACATTAACTCGCTTCCCTTTATCCCTCCCCTATGATCACTTGTGATTGCGATTAAAGGTTTAAACATTGTTACCTAATGATCGCGCGAATAAAACGCGCATTAGGGATGAGGAAATGGGAAATCGATCTTGGAAATCGGTATTAGCGCGCAAGAGTTTCTATTAAAAAAATTGTTGAAATAATTAAAAATAAAATAAAATAATTTTGCAAATTATGTTATTTTATTTTTAATTATTTCAACAATTTTTTTAATAGAAACTCTTGCGCGCTAATATTTTCAATATAGATACAGCAAACAATTTCAATTATTACAATGATTATATATTAATAGTAGAATTAGACAATATATCGTATAAACGATGATCTCGAGACAATTTTGTTTAAAAGTAGATAAGTCTGTAATATGTTTTTATGTGGCTTTATGTTCTTAAACGGATTACGAATGCGAGATTAAATGAAAAGGGAAAAACTCGCGGTGAGATTCACGTCACGAAACGAGAAAAGGATAAGCCTTTCGAGGAAGAGGAGGAACTTCCTTCGCAGCTTAACGAATCTCTGTAATTTAAATCCTGCCTTGCATCTCGCCGAGGTTAACTCGCCTAGCGAGTATTTTCATCGCGCTTTTCCTCCGACCTTCTTTCGTTATTAGTGCTTTTTTTCCTCGGATCGAAATAAAATAAGCTCTCGATGCATATCGCGGCGAGATTTTTTTCTTTCGCGTTTTCCGGCCACGTCTCATTCCCTTGAGAGAGAAAGATAGACAGAGGGAGATTTCTCTTTCTATCTTTTTCTTTCTCTTTATCTCGATTAGCGGATTTCCGAGTATCGCTTCTTTCCTCTCCAGAATCTAATGGAGAAATAAACTGTGCGCACCGTGCAAATTATGCTCTCAAATCTCTTTATTTCCCTATCATAAGTGCCACGAAATCCATAAAATCGAGCTTGTAAATTTTTATGAATCTGTAGCACAAAAATCGGTCTTGAGATTAACTTTTGTCGTCGATTGATGATGAATCCTTCAATCATCGAATAATCTCGATCTTCTCCGAGCAAGTGTCAAATCGCGGCTATGAATGATGCATCGCTGTGTATTTTGGTATACTCTCTTAAATCTCTCCGAGGTAACCGTTAAACTTTCTGAAAGCGTGGTTGTGCAAATTGAGATCTTCTGGATATGAGAGATAGAATTCCGGATCTCTTTCATATACGACAAAACGTGAATGTAAAAGAAAAATATGTAAATTTAATTCGTACCTTCGTTTTTTTGAAAAGTAAAGTGTATTAGCGCCATATGCAAGCACAAGACTATTAATTATGTTTGTTTATAGCAAATAAAATGCAAGAAGACTGGCACTAAAATATTATTACTTCCGTATTTTAAGAGCTGTCAACTTGCGAAGCGGAATAATTTCATTCGATAGGAAGTCTATTCACCTGGCAACAAAAGCTCTCGATAAATCGACACGTTTAACAATGCCGAACGTTGATAAATTACGGCGCGACATTTCTTTAAAACTTGCACGATGGTGAATAAATCAAAATGGACATCGAATCGAGATAACCACCAACTGCATGCGGGCGTGCAGGTGCGTCGAAATTAGAGATGTACCCTGATATATTTACCTTTAGCTTTTAGTTCGATGCACAAGAGATATTTGATTAAATCTCGATTATATATTTTCTTTTTATAATGTATAATTTTCAGAGAAATTTTAAAAAAATCTATCTCACACAACAATACTCAATCTAGATTTGTCAAAATAATTTTTCTGCTATTTGAGCTTTTGCGAACCTTCATTAAGAGAGAAAAACACGTATCCAGAGATTAATATTTCTCGCGACTGTCGAGTACAAGGCTTTTCATCGCGCGTCATACAAAATGAGAGAAAAAGGAAAACGCGCGCGCTGTCGATGAAAATCGCGAAAACGCTCTTACTCGGCTATCCTCGACTCTCGTTGGTCTCTATCTGTATACTTGTCTCCCAACGCGGTGTCCCGCTGTATAATTGGACAAACATGGCTGATATTTATGTAAAAGTTACCCGGCACACGAATCAGTGTTTGCACATTACGCATGGTTGCGAACACAAACACAAAAAAAAACGAGCATAAAGTCTGCAAATTCGGTTCGTGACCGAGATTGTCGTAAAATAGAGGTGCTCGTGAGAATGAAATAGTTCACGAGTGCTTGTATTCTACAGTCAGATCAGGTACCAGTGCGAGGAAATTGCACGGAATTTGACTTGACGTCAATGCGACGACAAACGATATTATGCTAAAAATATGATGAAAGGGACTGTATAATTCTTCGGTTATATCCGAACGCGTTTTACAATGTGTAGCAGAAGTAACTTGGTGTCGTTAATGCTAATTGGAAAAAATATTTCAAAGAACATTTTTTTTTAAGTGTAAGTAAATATTTTCAAAAGATACAGAACGCGAATGCACCGATGAAAGAGTCTGTCTTTGAAAAACAATTTTGAATAAGATGTCGATGCTTTTGAATTTTCTCTTCGCGCGCGCGCATAATTTTTTTCTTAATATAGAAAAAGTGTAAATTTTCTAAATGTGATTAAATATTTATTCATATAAATCTACCCTTTATATAAAATCTGTCGTCTTGTTATAATAATTGCGTGCAATTTAATGCGAACATTAAGATAAACAAAAAGGACACTCACCGTTTCCTGTCGCCATGATGTTTCCCAGCAATCTGCTCAAGGTTTTTCCGCTCTCTTCCGGCGTAACCGACCCCGACGCACCGGTTTCCGGTTGCGTCATTACATTCATCTGCAAGATAAAGATAATATTTTGTTACTTTACTATCTTATTGCACAGTAAAATTAATACAATTCTCATAGTTATTATAAATTAGCAATCGTAAAAATATTAATTAAGATCTAATCCCCCCTCTCTCTCTCCCTCCCTCTCTCCCTCTCCCCCTCTCCACCTCTTTCTCCCTCTCCCCCCTTTCTCTCACTCAAATATAACAATTAAATATTTATGTTTAAAGTTTTACATATAAAATCTCTAAATACTTTTCTAATTTTTTTTTATATAGAGTTAAAAAATTCATAAAATGTAAATTTAGAGAATATGTAACTGACAAATCATGATTATAATATAAGCTCATCAAATGGTCCGTCCGCTGGGAAGCGGACTAGCAATAGTCTAATAATACAAAACGGTATTTAAACATGAAATGTCCCAATTCAGGTTTACATGCACATCCTTGACTCGACGAATGTAGATATTAATTAATATCTGACCCGCAGATCTCTTATTCGCAGGCTCTATGCTTCAACAGGGACATCGTCAAACTCCGTCAACGTAATTACACAAAGAGAAATCGTCTAGGAACAACTCGAAAGGGAGTCGGAAGTTAAATACTTTTTGCCGTAAGCGAAAATTCTTACCGAGTACTAAAATTGAGGCTAAATATGCGACTCTTCGGTTTACGTTTCATTAGAGCGCTATATTACAGTACTTCACAAGAATTATCGCCGTGGGGCTAAACTTGCGAACCTCGGAGATTTTAATCAAGAGTCATCGTAGGTCCTGCTCTCTCGACATCAGGCTGGCAAGAACTCTCGCGGGCCTACGTGCGCATTATTTTATGCAAAATGCGTTAGAACAAGTTAGCGAATGGGGACAGAGTTTTATTTATTTTATCATCTCAATATCTCGTAGGTTTTATATTCTAATATTTAACATTTATCGATTGACATTTCTAATAATTGACAATATATCTTCTTCGCAATTGTTTGCGATTTATCATACAATCTAAGAAGATACATGAAAAGCTGTTCACAGTAAATATGGCATCGCAAAGATTTTACGATAATTAAATTAATAATTATTCAATTTTATTAAAACATGTTATTAATTATTAAATATTTATTACAATTATTAAATATTTGTTTAATAATTATTAAAGTTTTGAAAATATTATATATTGGAAAATTATTTTTTTATTCTATTTATATGTATAAATATTTTCTGTGAGTTTTATAGCCAATAGATTTTACATTACATTTACAAGAATTTCCAATAATTATTTAACAATTTTTATAACATAATATTGTGTCAAAATATAAAGCAAACTGTATAATACAAATTGTATAATACAATATAAAATATAATAAAAAAGATCTTGCTATATATATTTTTAATACAATTTTAGATCGCGATTATATTTTATTCTTCTTTTGCTTTCTTTTCTTTTTAAACAAGACTAAAGGAAACTACTTCCGTTTTGTGTTACGCGCAACTTGTAGAACAAATCCAAAGACACTGCATGAAATAGCCAAATCCAATTTTCTTCCCTTCTATTTTCGAAAACAAGAAACTCGAGTACTTATTTCCCGGGAAAACTTTCAGTCCGCCAGCGTTTTATATCCTACTTTCTCCAGAGCTTCAATCTGACCACGATGACCTTTGAAGTATAGGACAACGGTAAATATTTTTGCAGAAATATAAGCGAGTCCCATGCGAAAGCCAATTTCGTAATCGAGATGTAAATTGCATCGCATCTGGCCGATTGCCAATTCTCTCTCTTTCTCTCCCTCTTTCTCTCTCCCCCTCTTTCTCTCTCTCTCCCTCTCCCCCTGTCTCCCCCTGTCTCTATCCCCCTGTCTCTCTCTCCCTGTCTCTCTCTCCCCCCTGTCTTTCTCTCCCCCCTGTCTTTCTCTCCCCCTTTTCCTCTCTCTCCCTCTTTCTCTCTCTCTCCCCCTTTCCCTCTCTTTCTCTATCTCCCCCCTTTCTCTGTATTTCCCCCTTTCTCTCCCTTTTCCCCTTTCTTTCTCTTTCTCTCTCTCTCTCTCTCTAACTTCATTTTCTATCAAACTCCGTTTTCTGTTTGTGATACGCTTTTGGTACTCTGCAAACTCCTCTTGTCCGAGGTACTCGCTATCTTTGTTGCTCGCCTCTATTCTGCATCTGTGCATAATTTTCTTATACGAGCTATATTATTTTTGTTTTTGCATGTTGAGTGTGACATAATGCGATGTGCATAATGTGGCCCCGTTCCTGGAACGATTCCAGCGGTCGGAAACAGCCAGCGGGACGCTCCTGTGATTTGATCGGGGCTGCCACTGATGAAATGCGCGGGGCAATGCATATACATATATATGTACATACATCAGGAATATTAAACGCGCGGCTGACCGCGTGTGGTTCCTCCATCCTCATTTTCCTGTCTGCTCGCGTCATTTTGCAGATCAGCGCTATCATCGAGTCTGACGTGCATTTGATTACATCGTGTATAATTTGCGACAAGCATCGTTGATTTTATGATAATAGGATAACATCGAATCACGCTATTATAAACAAATTTCTTGTTCGAACTGCGGATTAGAATATTTGAAAATGAAGATAGATTTCGAGCACATCTAATATATTTGACACACTGGATATATTTTAATTAATCACGCGGCGCTGATCATCAATAATTTCGTTCTTGAAATATTGGATTCACTCCCACGTCGCTCAGATGCATCGCGCATTCAGATTATATACACGATGCGGTCCAAAAGTTTTAGGATTAAGGTAATAAAAAATAAAAAAATGTCGGATTACTTTATTTAATCTTTTATTCATTCAAAATATGATCCATCTGACTCAATGCACTGTTTCGTGCAGGTTTCCAACTTCTGCATGGCGCTAGAGTAATCCTCCAAAGGGATCTCTTTCAATCGCTCGATCACAACTCTTTAGTCATCAATGGTGTCGAATCGGGCCCTTTTCAGTTGCAATTTCAGCTGCAGTTTTGGGAACAATTAAATAGTCGGGGGGAGATAAATCCAGTGAGTACGAGGGGTGGTGTCACGATCTGTTTGCGTCAAAAACTGACGAATCATTGCTGCCGAATGAGCCGAGGCATTGTCATGCAAGAGGAAAAAATCGCGAGTGCGAAACAGGGTGGAACGAACGCGTCGAATGCATGAAATTAGGCGGTCCAAAACATCTTTATAATATTCTGCATTAGCTGTACAACTCTCGAGCTTCTCTTTGAGCTGTTCTTCGGCGGCCACTGCGTTCGTCGTCTTTCACCGACTCTCTCCTCTTTCGAAAACCAGCCGCCAAAAAATATTTGAGCGAGTCAAGGCTGCATCCCCGTAAGCCTTTTGGACCATTCCCAACGTCTCCGTGGCCAATAAGCCGACTTTACAACAAAATTGCGTTGCGACATGCTGTTCTTTCTTCACATCCATCTCAAATTTTTGACAGAGGATAACAAATACGAGTTGTGCGAAACATCGTTGCTTGACAAGTACTGAAACCACATTAACGCCATTTGGCCTACAGTCTTCGAGGAGGGTTTCTAGTACGTAGATCCACTTCGCTCTGGTAAATAGCGTTAGTAGTACCACCGTAAGAAATTCAATCCTAAAACTTCTGGACCGCACCTGTACATTATAAATCATTAAAAATTACACGCACGTGTGCAACTGTTACATGACTGTTCAAACTGCTATTGCAATTGTTCTATCGTATACATTATATTGTAAAGTTCCTTTCTTGTTTTCTACTTGCCGTTAAAATTATCGCGACATTTTATCAAAATAAAATAAATTGCAAAGAGATTGATATGTGTATTTGGTTTTATGACTCTTAACTTTGCCGATTAATTTATAATTATAATGATATACTCATCACGCTGAAATACTCAACACATTTACATTTTCCGCGAGTTGTCGAACAACGACCGTATTATCGATAACACATTTGTTGCATTTTGCAAACGTTATGACACATGTAATCGAAGTTTCGAGCTCGTGTAATCATCGACCGTTTGTGAATTTAATCAGCAATATTGCCCTGCCATTATTTATGATACTTGAGAGAAAGAACGGACATATATGGCTGGCAATTTCGCAAAAATATAGATTCTTGTAAATTACAATAATGATCATTCCATGTGTATAATCGCTCATATGACAAACAGTCGCAAATTTTTGAATTGTTGCCCTTAATACCTTTTTGTGAAAGATTTTTCATTGACATGATTTTCATTTTTTATTTGCGTTTGCAAACACGTTTCTTTTTTCTTCATTCTGTATTAATTCACACAATAAAAAAATTTTCTTGTATTGTTTATCACATATGCGTGTGTGTGTTTCTCTCTGCAAATATAATATCTCTAATCATTCCAAGTCTGAGTATATACATATATAGCAGAATTAATGATTATTTAAAAAATTATTATTAAAACGCAATATAAGTATTTCTACGATTTAAGATCTATAAATAATTAATTAATATTTTGTATAATTCTCAAGCGCGTATCTAACGTATAGTTAAACGCTACTATCATCACATACAATGTAACGGACGGTCTACGATCCATGCACGTATAACGTGTAATTTACGACACTCGGAGAAGTATAATCGCATGATAGATGAAAATGGCGGTGCGCCCATGTTTGCGTAGATACTCGCGGAAACTGTCGTGCTCGTCCGCTTTCCGACTTATCGGTCACCGCGGCCATGATAAATAATTATATCAAGTTGAAAACGTGCGAAAGGAAAATCCGCAATAAAAAAGAGAATGAATAAAAAAAAGAAAAGACTATCCATTCAGCACCGGGAATTAAATTTTGTCATCGTGATTAGATAGCGTGTGCTCAAATTGAAATAAATTAAGTGTGTATTCACACACAGTGACGCCGAAATTACTAGATTAACGCCAATGTTTAGTAGAAATAAAAGGAAAAAAACACGCTCTAAAAAGAAATAGAGATCTTACTCTATTGAAAGAATTTTTTGTTTCGTTGTAAATTAATAAATCG